TATGAAACTATTTTGAAAACAAATTGTAATAACTTAATGGTTTTGAATGTTTTAAAAGTTTTAAATTGGCTTGAATTTTTATGGGTGTTACAATAATCATCAATGTTCTTTGTTGTGTAAGCAATATGTGTACGTGAACGTGTTGGAATTGAACAACGTTGATATGGTTATAATCGAGCATAAGGTAGCTATGTGAAATAACTACGTTTTCTCGCTTGACTTTGTATCTGTTTTGGTCAAAAAACAATCAAACGAAGGTTAACCTAGTTGTATGAGAGGCTGTTGTGTTGTAGCTAATACACGAATCAAATTGAAGTTAAAATGACAAGAGTGGTTTACAAGGAAAGCCCTTGATCCTTGTTAGGATCTCCGACATAAAACCTTGGGAGGTGATAATCATCACCTGCCTTGTTTGATTTTATTGATTGAAGAATGAATTATAGAGATAAGCTTGATAATACGATTAGAAATGATAAAGTGAGTCTAAATGGGTAAGGTGTCAGATAATTGTGTCCCCTGTGTGTGTTTTACAGGTGTATATATAGTCTAGGTTAAGTAACTAAAAATCCGATATTTCCGGGATCCTGCTGAACTGGTATTTGCAACGTGCTTTGACTTTGCATTCCCGAGTTTTAAGCCTGGTTGAAGTGATTCTTCGTGAATGAGTCTTATGTTGACCATTTATGCACATGTGAGAAATAAACAAGAAATATAATCATTAAACTTGTAAGGAAATAATAATGACGATGTTCAGGATCCTGATGTATGTTTGGGGATCCTGAGACTCTTTTAAGATCTGTGATCCTGGATAGGTTAAGGATCCTTAGATATCTCTGAGATACGGGATCCTGGATATGATTGAGGATATTGGCCCTAACAATTGCCCCCAAATTATGCCTGTAAAATATTTGAATTAATTTCAAGTATTTAAAGTGTATAATTTAATTAACTAGAAATAAAGGATTTAAAATTCAAACTCTAATGGATAGAATTGTATTCGTTCAAAAGATATGATTATGTTGTCAAATCTCTTCTCTATCCTCTGCGATCAGCATAAATAGGGGTTAATGGTTATTGATCTTTTATTACTTCTTTTAGCTCTCTTTCAAGCGTTATCGGTTATCTTGAAGGTAAATTTCTTGTTCTTTTCTTCTCATTTTCTTGTTTGATGATCATGGGTAAAAAGGCACTCCGTTTTCGCTCGGGCATCCTTACTTTTTTTCCCGACGAGGACTTCCTCGATCAGAAGATCCTGTCTTATGAGGGGATTTGCTCTTTTGATGATAACGCCACTGAGTCCTTGAAATCGATTGGAGTTTTCCCGCCGATGTCGTTTTCAAGCTTTTTGATGCTGAGGCCCATCCTGACTTTGTCTCTCCTACTTGGGTTTTCTTTCATCCAAACTATGCTTTTGATCTAGATGATCCTATTTTTAGGTTGATCGATTGAATCAATCTAAAGATCTACACATGGGATTAGTTGATTTGGCCCATGTTTATGATCTCCAAACTTTTGGGTCTTCTCGTTACATCCTCAAAGTCAAAACAAATAAATCACATCTTATTTTGAAATCAAAACAAAATGATGGTTCTTGGAAAGAGAAATATTTCTTTGTGAAACGTGAATTCATCCCCAACGGTGATCTCCTGCCAAGAAATTGGGTTGGAAAGGGTAGGATTTTATTTTATTTCATTGAGGATCTGAAACTCACACTTCCTTGTTTTATTTGTTTTGATGCAAATTTCAAGTCCAAGGAAGTTGTTCCAGCTGCTAAAGATACTGATGAGAAGGTGGGAAGCTTTCTGCGGCTGAAAGATATTTCAAGTTGGACCATTCCAGCTTCCTAGAAGGTTCTTCCACCACTGCTATGATATCTACTGGTAAAGATCCTTCTTTTTAGTTGTTTCATTTTGGGGATCCCAAACTGATGGGGCTTCTTTGTAATTTGCAGGATCCAAGGCTATACATTCGCTCACTTCTCCTTCTCAGAAGTTGATGAGGCCATGTCTAGCGGTTAGCTCACGGTCAGGAAGGAGAAGACATCCTCATGGACCACGCCTTGAAGACCGAGGAGGTGCTTGCTGAGGTTAAGTGACTGGAAAGGCTGTTAATGCTGGTAAGGATCCTGCAGGGAAGAAGAAAATGAGATAGGAGAAAGAGACATAGGATACCCCAACTCGGGGTGATCAAACCTTGAATTAGGTCTGATAAAATTTAAAACAATTTTAATTTTTTGGTTTGTAGAACAATATTTTCTTTTTGATGGGTTAGAGGGCAACCCCTTTTGATTTGGATGCTTTGGTTTATCTCTTTTCTTGCGTGGTTGATTTGGTTGTAGAATTAGGGTTAAAACAAGTTTTTCTAGGGGTTCTCAAATGATCAGTGTTAGGGCCAAGATCCTGGAATTACATTCAGGATCCTCAAACCTCAGGATCCTCAAGAATACTTCAGGATCCTGACTATTATCACCTATTCTCCTAACATTTATGCCAGTAATATGCTTTGTTATTTTTCTCACATGTGCAGAAATAATCATCCAAAGACTTATTCTCAAAGAATAATCATTGTGACCATGCAAAAGACCCGGAAGACCAAGTCAAGTAACGTCTATAAGTTGATCTCAGAGGATCTCGGAATTATCGGAGTTCTTGTTATTATCCTTAGACTATAAAAAAACACATATATTCATCACAGTACACACGACACATAGCAGAATAACAACACTTGTACTTATATTCTTTACATTTTCTCTATAATCGACCTTTTCAATCAACAAAAGTTTCAAGGTAGGTGATCATTATCACCTCCCAAGGTTTTATGCTAGAGATCCTAGCAAGGATCAAGGGCTTTCCTTGTAAACAATTTGTGTCACTTTGATCAACATTTTATACTTGCATTATTCTGAACATCACAACCTCTCATACACTTTGGTCGATTCATGCTTGTTCATTTTTTGACCAAAACAATTTGGCGCCTACCATGAGGCTGTGGTGTTCAAAATCCTTTGAAAAATCATGTCTACACAATCGACCCTGTCCTCTTCCTCAATTCCTCCCATTTCCTCCAAAAAACTTCAACCTCCTCCTGTCGGAGCTCCCAAGAAAGCCTTGGAAGCACCGAAGAAAAACGCTTCTCCGGTCGTTACCCCAGGACTATAGGATCCTGCTGTGCTGATTTCTTACAATGAAATCTTCGCTATGATGAAGAGACTGGAACGACAAGTCACCTAGCAACAAGAGGATAACAAAACAAATCTCAAGGAAGTGGAGAGAATGAGGAC